CCACATAAATTCAATCCTTTAACAGATTCACTCACCAACACTCAAGCATGATGTGATGAAGTAACAGTAGAAATGATAGTGCACCATTCCAAACTGTGTCAGCATAAAGGATATCGATGCAGGGAAGACGGTGAACAGTGGAATTATCGATTGGACGGTAAGAGCCTGAAAACCAAGGCTCATGAGGTACTATTTATGAGAACAAAAATAGACTACAAATTTCAGTAAACACATCTTCCTTTCGTTTATGTACCATTAGGTTAAGGTACGGGACGCAGACATTTGTCGTTAGCCATGCATCGAGAAAATGCTCTATGACTAACCCTCACACACCCTGTGAACTACCTACGCCAGTATCGAATTGTGAAGATGGGTAATAGCAGATGTGGAGTTCCAACCCTGGGATGAGGGCGTATAAAAGCGAAAAAGAAAGGCGGTCATTCGATCGCCACACAGGCTTCAAGCGGTTTCGCTGATCAGCGATACACACACCTTGCCACAACTCTTTCCTCCAACTGGTACGCTAGCATTACTGTGAGTACTTCCCCACCTTCAACCTCTTTCCATGAGCGAGAATTCGGGAAAAGGAAAACGTTCCTCCTCTCGAAGTGACTTCGTCCAGCAAATCCCGAAGAATTCGGACACCCCGATTAGTACAGCCATTCCCTACTAGTGCATTGATAGAACTTTGGTGTACATTTGTTGATGATGTACATATCGATGGAATAACAGGAGGCAGGCCAAGAAATACACTGTCCCTTTGAAATAATCAAACATTGCTAAACCGAACCTGCCACGGCCGACAGTAGAAGAATCTACCAAGGAAAGATGGTTCAAGTTACGAGTTCAGCACGTTTTCGACAGATTGTGGATCATTATAAAATTAACTGGAGTGCTGCTCAGCAGGGATATCGACAGAGAAGAGTTGCAGTCCTTGGAGGACTGTTCAGCAGTCATCGATTGGAGAAATTACGTAACGGCTTCAAGCTGCAGCCGTCACTGTAGGTCTTCTTGAGCTCGACGGCGATAGCGGACGAACGCTTGTTCTGAAGAAGGGAGGAGCATGCTTCTGCTTATAGGGGGACGTTTCAGAAATATTTTGTCATGAGATTTCTATTAGCAGCAGCACCCTGTGCGACTGCCATATGTAAAAGTCTGCTGGTGCGTGCAATAAGCAAAATTGTTCACTTCTTCTTTATGTGCTGCACTTTTTAGGATAGGAATTGAAAGGATAGTGAACTACAAGCAGGCAGGAATTTTTTCTTTTTAATTGAATCTCGATAAGCCGAAGAAAACTAGCTAACGATCAGAACAAGTTTCCCCTCAGTGATGCGGTGAGACTCGTCCAAGTTGTAAGCCGAATAAGCTACCGTGGGAATTTGAGAGTCATTTCTTTTATTTCGAGCCTTTTTAGAGTACCTATTCGGTACCAAGTAATTAGCGTTTGAAGCTGTTCCGCTCACCTTCACAAGTCGTTGAATATGAACAGCTGTGGAGTGATGCTGCACAAAGGACGGTCTTGACAGCGTGTGATAAATCCTCCAACGGCATAAGTACATCACTGCATAAATTGGTACCAGTAGAAAAGTAACACAGAAAGTCACCCATAGAAGACATGCCTGAATTCAGATAATTCGAAAGGCACTTACGCTCTTCACTGTAACTAGCGTGGTAGTGTGCGGATCTACACATAGTGTGACAGTCAAGAGCCTCTGAGATTGTGAACTTCGATCGATATTTGTCATTCCCTAGCTGCAACTGAGCTACTGCGCCTTCTTATATCAGGTTCATCAATCTACAAGTTTCTTCAAGTTTTCTACAATCAGCACATCCTTCTAGTTTACTTCATCGAACTGATGTTGAATCACGTCTCTCACGATCAGCCGGGCCAACGGACAGTGAGTTTAAAGGACGAATCCACGGAAGAACGAAGGTCGAAGAAGGGGGAAATGGCCTAGTTGTACAGGCGGACCTCCTGAGGGTGCTGACCGACGCGCAATTGGCAGCGAAAGATTTGACCTCGGCGATCTAGCATGGCTCACTCTTGGCGCGGTTGGCCGGGTACGCCCACCGACTATCTAATCACTCGCCGCAGGTCTATACGCGGAGAGAGCGTAGTGTTGAAGAGGGCACAGCGATGAGAGTCGCATCAATGCGCAAATCAACGGGCAAGGAAGGGGTCCCATTTCTCGGGTTCTGGGCCGTTTCTCATGGTTTTTCCTTCTTTCGTGTACCACTCACCATCCTAACTTAATTTGAAATGGGTTGCTTTTCAGGTCGTCCTCTAAAGGCAAGCCTGGGATTACCCCGACTATTGAGAAGGATACCGCGAGGAAAGTTGTGGGGTCCGTACCTACATGGATCATGCCAGCTTCGTCGCACAAGCTGCGCGGTTAGGACGCTAATCCCTATGGGCTTGCAATCATCGACCCCCTTGCAACGCTTCCCACCCACCGCGATTGATGATTGATTGTGTTCTCTCAAACTGCGTGCTCTCTCTTGTGTTTTGTGTTTTTGATGGCCGGGCATACCAGATCCGACCTTACTGGAGGTAACGGCCATGATTTGAGCGTTTTCGATGATTCTCGCTTTCCTTTCCACTTTCAGTTTGTTCTGCAGCTCAGTCATCACAACGAAGCCCTCTTGTACACCGATTTTATCTCGAGGCTTGACTTTAGGAAAACTTTTGAAGCGGAATCACCTTAATGGTCACCTATCCGACGCCGAACCCTCCTACGGTAGATGGTATTCACAGTTAGGGGAATCAGCCATCACCTGACATTACGAAAGTTGCTTCTGAAAGGTGTAACGACTTGTCAGGATGCCAAATCTCGAAAGATAAGAAAACGTTTTGATTTCGAGACGACCTCAGATAAGAAAATCTACTAATTTCGGGACGACATCATTTCTCTATATGCAGCATAAGTCCATACTTTTGAAAATTGTAAGCTTAGCTTATTTTTAATCAGCTCTAATTTTAGAAACAATTTCTACTTATAAAATTATGCCAGCACGGGAATGGGTTGATTTTCAACTTCAGCCACAAAATTTAATAGACCCCGAACTCATGGGCGAGCTGAACAGTGAGCACAATTCTACCTTTCTGTATTCATCTACAAAAGATTATGCACAGTGACCCACTGGTAGGTGAGGAAGGGTGTAATAATAAGATGGCATGCTGGACTTTGGCTTTTTGACATGAAGTTTTTAGGTTATCATAAAACGTTGGCGTGAGAAAGTAAAACATTGAGGTCAGTTGCCTCTTCATTCCACTGTTCTTCAGATAGAAGTGGCGTGTCAAAAAAGTTCTGTAGACATTCTCACTGACCTGATCGATCCTGGTTCCAACAACCGTGCGGTAGCGTTCCAGGTTATTGACGGTGTGATTCATGTAGTTTGTGTTCGATTCATAATCGCTAACATATTCCATATCGATGACGCCCAACTTAAAACT